ACAGAAAAATCCTGCCTTCACAAGGAGGATCAATGGGTGAGAGGAACAAGATAAGCTGAGATACCTGTGCCCCTTTGTGAGTTCTGGGGTACAAATGCAAAGGAAGGGTTTAATTAACTTCTCCGTAAGTACAGTTAACATATGTATTAAAACTGTCTCAAAACAAGAAAAGTATCCTCAAAAGCCTCGTTTCAGCCAAGAGATTAATTCCAAATTTTAATTGTGGGATTATTCAAATGCAGAAAGAGTCTTTTAGATATTAAAGGCATTGCTAGCTGGCTTTCAGTGCATTACCACAGGGAGTCTTAGAATCCAATTATCTCTGAAGAAATATGTTAAATATGCTCATTAACATGTAAAAAAGTGGAAACATGTATTAGAGAAAAGCTGATGTATTACACTTCTTAATGTCACAATGAATTAGCAATAAAGAAGGTTGCAACAGAAGTAACTTGCTGAAATGCCTAGGCAGCATAGGAAAATAAAGCGTTTTATTCCAATTAGCTTAATTCCTGATAATGACATAGATGTAGCGATAAAACTCTCTGTATAATGGGCTCCAGCCCTGGGAAAGTTTAGGAATCGTGCTTTGTGTATGGAAAGAGGCAAGAAAAAGGAGGTAAGCCTGAACCTCAGTGTAAACTGCCCTCAGCTCTCAGCAGGCAAGAGAAAGAAGGAAACAACAGGAGGAAAAGGCAAAGGAGGCATGTTAGGAAGGCAATAACCACAGATAAAACCTCTAGGTCCCATGGCTGCACAGAGTGCAGGCACTAACCAGGCATTTGCTGCTTCTTTTAACTCCCAAAGCAAGCCCCATCCATTCGAGCCCCAAAGCCTCCCAGCTCTCCAAACCCCATCTTTAAATGCTTTCTCACATTAAACCTTCAGTGCAGCACTTTCCCTCCTTCACCAGCACTAACCCACACTTCTGCTTTTCCCTGCCGAGCAGGAACAATCAGAGGCATGAAGGAATAAACAGTAATTTCCTGCTTTATTTTTTGTTGAGAAACCTGACCACTCTGACCTAACTCCCACCCCCTTGAGTCCCAGACCTTAAACACCCCCAAGTTCTAACACCCAACGCCAGCTCAACACCAATCCCTGCCATTACTGCCTGACACACGCTCACGACACAATCCCGACTACTGGCAATGCTTTTTCTGTGCCCCCTTCCCTCCCAATGCCTCCTTCATCTGCTTCTTCTTTTCCTCTCCATTAACCGAGGAGTTGAACAACTTTCCAGATCCACAAGGTCTTCAGGCAGAAGAGAGGAAACCAACCCTGGGCTGTCTGAGGAGGCACCAGTTTTCTAGTTATATTTTCAAATAAAAGAATTTTAGGTGAGGTTAGTTTACCTGAAGTTTTACACATTAAAATACAGCAGGAGAAGTTTAAGCATGACCTAAGTCGTAGGTCTTCAGCAATCACCATGGTGGTAATAACAGCTACTAAATTATTCAAAAGCTCTTGCATAACCATACACACTTAGATTTTCCACACCTTTCTTTTTTTTCTGCACATCTGACATGAATCTTGCTCCAAAGTCCCAGTGATGCCAGCTGGAGTGTCACCTCCAGCTTCACCCAGCCCTGGTGCACATCACTCCTCCAAACCCATCCCAGCTGTGCAGTCCACAGCCAGGGGAACCACAGCCGCCCCTCGTGTGAACGCACGGACCAGTGTGCTTAGATATCTTTTTGTCCAAGAAACAGCAAGAAAGATGGACTAGATAGATGTGGATAAAATTAGGCAATCAAACTGCTTAAAGAAAGCAACCAGAGAGCATTTTGCCAGCAGCCGAAGCTTGAATACACACTGCCTATCCAGAGAAGCTGGTTTGCCCAGTGCCCCAACGCATTTTCTACAGGTGAGCTCAGAAAATGGACTTCCTTCAGCAAATACACCTCAAAGATTTGTGAATATTAGTGGAGTGAGTTTGCCAAGTAAACAAAGCGCTGCCGGCTTGTTCCCTCCTCCACCACACCATCCACCTTACCTCCATGTCTCCATGGTAAATCCGCCTTGGAAAGCCAGCCCCAATTAACGTGCATTTTGGCTGCTTCGAACGCAAACTCCCAAAGTATTTGTTCTTCTCTCAAGCGTGGGTGGCATTACAGGGGAAGGAGCGATCGATCATGCTAAAGCAAGATGCTGTCCCTTCTGCCCCAAAATTTGAGCTGTGGTGCACATGGTGCCTTTCCAGCAGCAGCACGGCTTGAAGGTCTTGCGGGGCCTGGGACTCTCTAACCACATGGGGCACAGCCTGGGAGGCTGCTAGCCCCTTTTGGTATTGGGTGAAAACAGAGAAACTGGAGCTCAAGCTTTATCTCAGCCAAAGGCATCATGAGCTAATTGCATTAAGCAATTTGGTTTTGCTGGAAGAGCAGTTTTTGGGGTAGAGAGCAGCACAAACGCTGCTTTTCTGTTGTAGAGGAGCTCCTGGGAAGATCGGCTTCTTTCCAGACCTTTGCAGAGAGCAACCCCGCCCAGCCCCATCCCAGTCCTCTTCAAAACCCCCAGCATCATTGCAAACCAGGTGTGAGCTTGTGCAAAGCCTCCCCTCGTATTTCACAGCTCTCAAGGCAGCACCACTGAAGTTTCATGTGATTTCGTTAGCACAAGCCTCAGAAGCACCTGCCCTCCGCTCTCTGGATTCAACATGATTTATTGCAAGCTCTGCTAAAAGCGGTGGGTTTCCTCTTCTCTGTTCTGCAGCGCTTTTAAGTTCTTCACATATCATTTGACCCTCTAACCTTTTCTGCTTCACAAAGCGTGTATGCAATCCTGTACAACATAAACCTGTCATTGTCTACGGTTGTCTACAAGAGGAGAAACCGCCCTGCTCAGGGGTCTGGGTGGTTTGGCTAGAAATAACTTCAGCAAGAACACCCTAAACACTTCTGTCTCTCCAAGGTGCCCCCAGTAATTGGCCCCTACCCTCACTGCAGCTTAATGAGAAGATTAGCAGCAAACATGACACATGTTAGAGGAAGGTGGTGTGTTTCCATGCAGACATGGTAGAAAGGTTAATAGATTGATAGATAGAAATAAAAGGGAGATCATAGCTCCTCCCTGGGCACTGCCCGCTTGGGCTTAAAACTACAGTGTATTAGAAACCTCTCAGCTTAAAGAAAGGGCATGGTTTCAGACAGAACCAGCCAGAGAAGAAGCAGCCCTGAGCTGAAGAGGACTTAGCACACAACCAAAGGACAGGACAGCCTGCAAAGCCCTCCTGACCCTGCAGCCTCCCATATCCATCCCCTCCCAGCCCTTCCCTGTACACCTGCAAGGATTTCACATAAATGAAGTGGGACCTATTAACCTTCCCCCTGCCAGGCATGGAGCAAACCAGGCCATTTTCTGAAAGTTTTTTTTTTTTAATACAAAACTGGATGCGTTTTATTTTCTGTGGCCAAAACACCCTGTACTTTAAAAGCTACGTGGACTTCTGATATAATTCTTTTCCACTCTTTCTTATTAACCATGTGTTGGCCAAGAAAAGGACTTTTAAAAATAGAAAGCTATAGTGAGGACACCTAAAAGCCTTACTCAAAGTGCCTAGGAAACAACTTTCATGTCACACCTGGGGGGTGATAAGACAGCATTGGGTGATAGAAGATTTATTTTCCTGAGCAAACAGCAATAACTGCATTTAGGCCTGCGGGGCTCCCAGTTAACCCACTGGTGTCCTCACCCACAGGACGCAGGGTTGCAGCAGGGACTGGTGCTGGACACAGCACGAATAATTTAAGTCCCTTCCTTGCCATGTGCCTCAGTTTCCCCTTCTGGTAAATGGGTGATTGCAGCCCACCATGTCCACAGTCCCCAGCTGCTCACTGGCTCTGGGACACGCCATGTCACCCCCCTGTCCTACTCCAAGTGCCACTTGGTGGCACTGTTTGAAAAGATTTCTTTGCTCGATGCCTACCTCCCTGTTGGGATCCAGAAGAGGGAGTTTCTGGAAGGAATCACATTAATCTTGGCATCACAATATCCTCATTTTATTTCCTTTGTTTTCTTTTCTCTTTATTCACCATGCAAGCACTCCCGGGCGGTCTCCTCCCCTGCGTGTCAGTCACTGGGGATTTCCTTCTCACAAAACACATTTGCCAAACACAAGAGTCCCGGGCGTTGCTCAGGTATCACCTTAAACTAGATCCTCCAGTGGTAAAAATAGCCTTTTCTGTTAAATTCCTCTGAAGTGTGTCTGCAGGTGGGGCAAGCTTAGGAAGCATCATGCATTAACTCCAGAGAAAAGCATCAGAGCAGAAGTTAATGAGAAAGAGATAAATTAAGACAGGGGCATGACAGTGTAATTGGGTGAGAGATGTTTCAGGTGGCCCTGCCGAAGGGGTGTCTCCTCTGGAAGATGCAGGCTGCGATCCTGAACTGTATATAAGACGGCCGAGAGCCGATCTGCTCCAGACTGTGCTCCTGAAGCTCAGTGCTCCTGCTCCTCACCCAGGTAAGCCTGGACAGACTTTTTACACTGTCTGACTTTGCTACCAGCAGGCAAGCAGGAGCTTCTGGCCATGAGGATGTCCCCGGAGCTGCCACGGCTGAGCTCTCCTAAAGGAAAAAAAATAATAGCAAAAGAGATCTGGAATTACACGATTCCATGGTTCGTTAGAGACGACCTCCACTCACAGCGCTGCTCTGCTCCGGAGAAAGCCAAACGGGATTTTTTTCTCTCCTCTCTGTGCCCCCAACCTTTCGGCTCTCGCTGTCCCTCACCTCTCCAGCCATCACCTGCTGGTCCTCACACCCAGCCACCTCTGCAGCTGAGTTTCACTTTTCACATTTGTTTTCCTGTGAGATCCTTCTTGCTCACCCTTATACTGTTCATTTTATCTGTGCCCTTCCCCGGCTCTTCTTTCTCTCTCTGCCTGCCCAGCTGTGTTGTTTAAGAGTAACTTACCTGAAAGCCAAGCAAACCAACACACAAAAAAGCCCCTTTTTGTCTGTGTTTTTCTTGCAGGCTGCCTCAATTTTGCAGGGGGATGGCCCAGCTCCCGGAAAACATCAATGGCATCGTTGCTGCTTTCTACACGTGCGCCAGAAGCGACGGCAACTGCAGCCCCCTGAGCAGGGAGGAGCTGAGGCAGCTCATCGAGCAGGAGTTCGCGGACGCGATGGAGGTGAGGATCTGGCCCCTTCTGGCTGCAGGGCTGGGATTGGGAGTGCGGTGGGGTGGGTAAAGCCATGCATCCTTGTGCGGGTGTTACAGGACACCCGGACCCCTGGGAAAGGAAAAGCACCGATGCCTTCAAAGCCCAGGATCTGCAGGGGAGAGGAGAGGCTGTTCATTCTCCCAGTGCCAGCAGCTTGTAGAGCTCGGTGCGGGGAGCAACACGAACCACAGTAGGGGGGGACCATGGGGCTGGATTTCTGCCCTGAGACTGCTTGAGTGCTCCTGGAGAGATGGCACAAATGGCTTACAGGCTTTGCCAACGCCACTTGTCTCTTTACAGAACCCCCAGGACCCCAAAACCGTCAAGAAGGTGCTGTCCTTCCTGGATGATGACAGCAACTGCAGGGTTGACTTCAGCGAGTTGCTCAGCCTGGTTTTCCGCGTGGCCAAGGCTTGTTACAAGCCGCTCCAGCAGCACCAAGCACCAGAAGATGGACAAGAGCCAACAGCACAAGAGAAGGCAGACAGGCAGCAGCCGCAGGGGCCGCGCACAGCGGGGAGGGTCTCCAGCAACCAGCAGGTTCCCGAGCAGGGTGTGAAAAATCAGGTCCAGGACACTAAGACACAGGACCCAGACAATGACCAAAGCCAGGAGAGTGAGACACCAGAGCAGGACCGGGACACCCGTCGAACCCAGGAGGGTGAGACAAAGGAGGAGGACCAGGACTCCCATCAAACCCAGGAAGGTGAGACAAAGGAGGAGGACCGGGACACCCATCAAACCCAGGAGGGTGAGACACCAGAGCAGGACCGGGACACCCATCAAACCCAGGAGGGTGAGACACCAGAGCAGGACCGGGACACCCATCAGGATGATGGGACTGAAGCACCAGAAGGGGATCCAGAGAGCGGTGAGATTCTGGACACTGCAACCCCAGAGCAGGACAGAAATACTCATAAGGCTGAAGAAGCTGAGACACCAGAACAGGACCCAAAAACCCACCAGGCCAAAGAAACTGAGACACCAGGACAAGGTTCAAACCACCATCAGAGTCCAGAGACGGAGTCAGCAGAGCAGGACCTGAATTGTCCTCCTGAGATGCGAGGAAGAGACCCAAACAACAAGACCCGGGTCTGCGAGGCCCCTCAGCAGGACCCCAACCCCAGCAAGACCCAGAAGCTGCTGCCCCCACAGCGGGGTGCAAGCCCCCATCGGGATCCCAAGCCCTGGGGAATACGCCACGACCTGGCTTTCCATCAGTTCCCTGAATCCAAGGTGCTGGAGCAGGAGCAGAGCGGGGCAGAGGCTCCGTCTTATCCAGCACGACGGCCACAAGATGCTCATCACCAGAGGCAACCCACTATAGAGCAGCAGCTCCTGCAGTCTCTCTATCAGTGGCCCCTACAGCAGTAAAGGCTGAAACTTAAGTGAGGCTGTTGCCCCCTGCGAGGAGGTACATTTTGTCCAGTCCCACTCTGGGTTTTGCATTTCTATTCGTCATGTCTTCTCCAATTCCCTATTAACCCTGGGCTTCACACCCCTGGTTTGTACTGAGCTATGCGTGACTAGAGAGCTTCCCTCTTACTCTGTGTTAGGCTGCCTCTGCCTGTGTAAGCAAAGCAATAAAACTGAAGGCAAAACTGCGGAGTGTCCCGGTGTGTTGCTGCAAGCGCGTCCTCGGCCCCGAGCAACCAGCCAGGTTGACATGATGTGGTGCAGAGGACCTGAGCGGCCGTCCCTTGCATGACGTACGGGCAGATTGCTCCAGGGTGCAGATGGAGGGATGGCTGCAGAGAGGCAGGTGTGTCTTGGGGGTGGATAGCCTAAAGGAGCTGCTGCTCGGCCGCCTTTGCAATTTAGGCGAGGTGAATCGATTGCTCCCCACGGGCAGGGATGCGACATCCCTGCGAGAGGTGTCTTCAGAGGGGGTGGAAGTCTGGATTAACACCACAGCATGGCCGACCTGAACAGATTCCTCACAGCATCCATCTGCTCCGGGCATTTTTCATGTCTGCTGTGAAAAGAATAAACAGCTGCTTAACACTGAAAGGGAGGGATTTGTCCTATTTAACCTCAGAAGCAAGGGGAATGTGAAGCACACTATGAAGATCAAAAATCCCTATTAGCGATGGAAGCCTCCAGAGAAAGGAGTGGAGATATATTAAACACAGGAAAAATGATGATTCGGGTACCTCCAGTCCCAGCAACAACTGGGAGGCCGGAGATAAAAAGCTGACACGCAAACCGTGCAGAAACGGAGCCAATCTCAAACTCAGATTCAGTTCAGGCGGTTCGGGGTACCAGGTCCTCGGGCACCTGTCCAGACGTGCGCATAGGAATGTGGATAACTCTGAGGGCATGAGCAGTCCGGTGAAGTCAGTGGGGTTTATTAGGGGGTTCAGACGTGCTGGACCACCAGGCAGGTCCAGGACTCGGCATCCCGCAGGGAGGGTGATGCTCAGCCTGTTTTTCACCATGCTATCTTTCACTTGTGACCTATCAGCAAAATCAGCACATGATAAATGCACCCGCACCTCCGGCTCTGTGGCCGGTGACAAGCAGCACGCAGAGACCTCACTGGAAAATAAAACGTCATTCCTCTGGGACACCCCAGAATTTCACAATTTGCTAAGCGCTGAATCAGAAAAACCAGCGTTTCAAAACTATCCCCAGAATGTGCATCACAAAAATGATTTGGTTGAAAAGCGCTAATGTCAAAATTAAATGTATTAGACACAAAGTACACCAGTCTGCTCTACTGCTGATAAAACATATTAGCAAAAATAAGTTCTGACCTACCTCATGACAGCTGTGGACACGCAATGGGAGAGTCAAGACTTAAATTTCACCACCGATCTGTCAATATTCCATCCCATTCCACCTGAGACATTCCACAAAACATTTCATTTTCCAGAGAACTCCATTTTTCTTGTAAAATAGGTCTCAGTTAGAGGTTTGTCCAATAGCTCTTTGCTTCTTATTAGCTCTGGCTTAGGGTCTAAAATCACCGGACCCAGCCATCCCCCCGTAGTCTGTCTGTCCATCAGCTGCCACCTTTTGCAGCATCAATAAAAAACTGACCTCCCAGTCCAGGCAGGCACCAAGCCCTGTTAGGGACATGTTAATTATATGCTCTATTCTGAATAACACTACTTTTGCCATCGGGAGTGTCGTATTTGAAGTTAAGAGGGGTTTTTTCATTCATTATAAGGAGAACATTAAAATTATTCCACTGACACGAATACCTGCCTAAGAGTCCTGCAAGCCTGGGAAGTGTTGGAAGAGAAAAGATCTTTTATACACCACACGAGGAGCCCGGTTCCTCTAAGATTAAATGCAACAGAAGTTTGGTCGCCCTGTATAAATGGTGACGGGGATTGGGTAAGAAGCAGGAGGACGGAGCCCACCCTCTTGGGTAATAGCTTTTAAAAACGTACCAAGTCCCGTCTTACAAAAGCGTCTTCGGGGAAAACGAAGCCCTTGGAGAAAAGGGGTTTCAGTGCTGCCAAGAATGTGCTTTGAAGCTCTTTGCCTTGTCCTGGGAACGGCAGCAAAACCCGGGAAAGCAGGCAAGCGTGCCAGCGTGCGCATGGCCGAAACGCGACGTACCTTTTCCTGCGTCGATACCCCAACCCTGTCCGGTGGCTCACGCGGCGCCCGACCATCCCGCACTGCCCCAACCCCTGCGGGGGGGATTACAGACTGTTACAGGACACCAAGCCGCACTGTAATACTCTAATTTTAATAATAACTCCAATCTACCATAAAATTACAGTTTCCCAAGGGTATTATTATCCCACAGGTGGGGTATAATTTGCACAAGTATAATTTAATCTTGAAAAAAAGCTCAAAAATGAAGTATGGTTAGTAACAATCCTTCGTACGCACTTGTATGAGTATCCCCAAGGTGTTACCAGCACTAATTAATTAGGCTCCTACACCCAGTATGATCTTACCTTACAGATGGGCCAGATGAGCCACTCACCCAAGGCTGCGTGACAAGTTCATGCTCTGAAGGCTCTCTGCAATGTCTCCGTCATGCTTGTCAAGGCAGCATCCTACCTCCAAAACCAAAAGCAGGGGCCCAGGTGGCACGGCTGGTATCTTCCTTATTTGCTCTGTGTACCGGGAGAGTTCAGGATGAATAAAGGAATCAGTTGGTCTCTAATTAATTTACTGTTAAAAGATTAAAAAAAAAAAGAAGATTGTAGAGGTAATTACAGCAAAAGCTGCCTAGGGCAACCAGATGAAGATTCAACATGAATCGACCTCTCAGCAGAGAGGTTTGTGCTTTTATTTTTAATTAAAGATCAGGCAAAGTTGAAAGGAAAGTCATTCGTGGAAGACAGATAATATGAAAAGTATTTTATCATGATTTTTCTCAATGAAAAGTCATTGTTTATTGAACAGATACTTTCTTGTACAAAAATTCATTTCGCAGACTTTAACATCTAAAGGTGTTCTGTTGGTGGTTGGGGTTTTTTCCCAACAAAAACCTGGATAATATAATGCAGACTTTAACATTTAAAGGTGTTCTGTTGGTGGTTGGGGGCTTTTCCCAACAAAAACCTGGATAATATAACAAAAAGGCTCCTTAATAAGAAGTTACCAAAAATGAAACATTTTGCAGCACACTCTACAAGGACACCACACAAGCCAACATCTGGAGGATTTGGGGATCTCACTGCTGTGCACCCGCATTTCACCATTTTCGTAGCGCTTAGGTCTTCTTCTGTCCTGTGAGCGAAAGCCAGACCCAGGCCCAGACCCCATTGACCTCAGGCCCAAGGTGCTGAAGGAACTTGCAACACAAAAAGCAAACGAAAATAATCTCTGGTATTGCAGTACCAAGCTCATGGGCCATGCAGATGTAAGTATGTCCCTGACAATGGAGCTCTGCTATGATCAGCACTTCTGTCCCCATCCTCAAAATTTCATTGTGGTACTATTTTTATGTGTGCATGTGTGTATTATACATATATAAATTCATACTTATGCAAATGCACATTTATATAAAAATACACCCTCTCATTAACACATATATACACTTTATAGCTACTCTAGATTTTTTAAAATCTGAAATAAAATCAGCCTGTAAAATAACTTTACAGTCTGGATTAGGTGGAACCAGCCAGTGCCTGAATTGCCACATGGCAACTGCTATTTCTGGGTTAAAATGATAGGTAAGGGGATGATAAGTTAAATAACCCGTTTGAGGACGTGAAGGTGCAGCTGGGCTTGGCCAAAGATGAATCAGGACAACGTCCACAAAGGGTGTCTCCTTTCTGTAGCTCCGTCAAGGACCCTATAAAAGCACCCAGGTCCTCCCATCACTCCGCACGGCTTCACAGGAATCCCACTTGATCCCGTTGGTGATTTGGGTAAGTCACTCCTTCTGAAATGTGCCCCTTTGCTGGGCAAGGAGACGTTGTTTCTGTAGGATTCATGTCGGGTGGCAGCATCATTCCTGCCGCAGTATTTTCTAAGTCTTTTGCGTTTATATCCAGTGAAGTGTTGTTTTGTGTTATTTGGACACCTGCATGCTGTCACCATGTGTCCACGTGTAGAGGCAGCTTTTCTCAAAGGGAAAATGCGAGAGGGAGCCAGGTTTCGTGCCTTACTTTGGTCTGGAGTCAGCTCCCAGCCAGAATGAACAGATTGGAGAAATGTTCTGTTTTCTACAGAAATACCAAAACCCAGGATTTCATATGCAAAGCGCACATGAGTTCATGTGTATGTGCACGTTATAGAGGTGGCAAGGCAGACATGGCACAGCTTCCCCAGCTGCAAACTGAGATCTCAGCACTGATGTACCTGATAAAAGGCTTGGGGATCCTGTGAGGAGGAAGGAAGGAGGTGGCTTTTGAGGATTCCGGACACAAAGCTCCAACAGGAGCACTGCTTTCTGCCAAGCAGATCTCAGTAAAATCAAATAAGTAGCTCTGACCTAGGTGATCTGACAGTTCCCCTCTGGCCATAATCTATCTGGTGCTGTAACGAAAGCTTTATCGTTTGTTTTGCGTTACTACTGGTCACAGGAGCATCAGCCACAGGGCTTGTTTTAACTCCCTGTAAGCACTCTACCTGCCTCTTGTAAGCACTCTACCAGCTAGATCTTGTCTCAGGCCACGCCAGCGCTGCGTTAGACATCCTCTAACCTGCTTCACAGAAGCTGGTGTATCTCAGTGCCAGGCAGAGTATATCAGCGTGGGTCCTGGAAACATAAATACCTGGTATGACCCCATGGGGACAGGTTCTTGGGGCATCTCTTGAGTCATCATCCCCAGTCCCCTCCCTGCGATCCATAAACGCAGGCATCCTGCCATCCCCTATCAAACGTCATTCAAATACGTCAGTAGACAAGTTGGAGGACACTCCCCATCCCACTAAAACCCCTAAGCATTTGAATTTCTTCCCAGTGCTCTGGTGAAACAGAGCTCGCCGTGGCACAGGAGCGGACACACAGCGCACGGCACCCAGCGTCCGATGAACACACGCAGCCTGACCCCAGCAATTCTCCCTCCTCTTTTCACACTCAGAGGCAAGCAAATCTCCCATCTTAAGGTCTGCTCCTTTTCTTGCAGGCTTGCTTGAATCTGCAGGAAGATGTCTCGCTTCTTAGACAGCGTTTCCACCATCATCAGCGTCTTTCACAAACATGCGAAGGAAGATGGAGACTGCTCCAACCTCAGCCGAAGGAAGATGAAAGAGTTCCTCCAGAAGGAGTTTGCAGATGTCATAGCTGTGAGTGAGCCGTCGTGAGGGGGAGGGCTTGAGGCCAAGACTGGAGTGCAGGGACTGCAAAATCTCCTTTCGGAGAGGGGATGCTTCTTAGGACAGTGGGATGGGGAGGCTTTCACAAAGAGGAGCAGCAGTTGCGTTCCTTTGCACCATCTGCTTCGACAGCTCTTCCAAGACATTTTGTCATGAGCAAATGGGCAAAAGCTGGAGAATGAAGGGGAGGTATGGTTTTCTTTCAAAGGCAGGAAAGAAATGTATCCAGTAGAGGGATACAGCATATCCCAAAGAGAAGAGAGCTGGTCAACCAGGAAAATGGAGAACAAAGATATGGAGTGGTTGCTGAGCTATAAAAGTGAAGTGTGAGAGATGGAAGGAGAAAAGATTGCAATTGTCCCTGTCTTTGCATTTCTCTGACAAGGAGCAGGAAGGTTACAATCCCTTTTTTGTTTCCCTGTGTGTGTTTTCCCTGCAGAACCCGCATGACCCTCAGACGATTGACAAGATTCTGCAGTTTCTGGAGTGGGATGGGGATGGGGAAATAGATTTTAATGAGTTCCTGCTTTTGGTGTTCAGAGTGGCTAAGGCCTGCTACTGCTACCTGCCAAAGGGACCATGCCTTCTGCAAAAAACAAAGGTGACAACCAGTGGCAAGTCACTCCGAGAGCCTGAAATTAAGAACAGAGAGAGCCATCGGCAGCTCCAGGAGGAGGAACAACAAACCTGTGAGAGTAATCATCATACCCCCTGTGAACCTGAGCTGCAACGAGACACCAGGGTCAACGAGCTTGAAACACTAGAGGAAACGGGGAGTCATCACCAGCAACGTAACACACAAAGCAGAAACGATGCAAAACGAAACAGAGAGCCGAGGGAACCAATCCCTCAGGTATACGAAGAACGAAGCCAAGAGCCATGTGACCAACGGAAGAGCCAGAGAAGACGTCAGCCACCGGAGCCAGACAGACGAGAAGATGTACAACTCTGCAAGCACGGCAGCTTGCAAGCACATGAGCCCGGACTGCAGGCAGATAAAAGGCAAAATCAAGAGGGTCCTCAGTCAGAACAAATGGCAGATGTGAGAAGTCGCAGCCAGAACCATGAACCTCAACCACTGCCAAACCGGTGGAGTAGCCATCAGCCACATGAGCCAGCACTACCAGGATATGATCAAAAAAACCAGCGGCCACAAGAAGCAGATAGAGGAAGTCACAATCAGCCACGTAAACCTGAATTACTGACAGAAGAGAGAAGCCGCTACCACCTACGTGAGCTGGAACAAAAAGCACTTGAACACAGCAGCCACCAGCCATGTGAGCCTGAATGCCTGGACTCCAGACGCCCACATCAGTCATACATACAGGAACCGCTAGAACTTGACCTCAGGTACTATGAGACCTGTGAGATAGAAAGAGGTATCTATGAACAAGGAAACAACCAGGAAGATGAGATTGAATATCCAGCAAGTGAGAGAGATATCCATCAAGAGCAGGAGTGTGAAAAACGAGATGACGCAAGGAAGAAAGAGCCCGTGCGGGAGACGAGGAT